AGAGCAGCGCCGAGCGGGACGTCTCGCTTGTAAGTGCCAGCATTTGCCATCAGTTTATGCTGTGGAACCCTTTGCTGTGGTGTATTCCTGAGGCAAACAGGAAAAGAAGTGACTATATAGATAAAAGTGATGCTTACAGCGATAGTAGCTGGAATAAACTTTGCAAGGATGCTTCCTTTTCAGTATAAAAATTAGTCAAATAATGGGAATGGGAGGAACTTTGTGCATGGTTAAAAGGAAGAGATTTAATACATCGAAAAAAGTAGTTTCCAACCTTCCAATGCTGTTTTGCTGCTTTGTACTTCTAAATAACGTCTTGGCACAAGACAAAGTGACAATACTTAGCCCTACTTTCTTGCTGACAAGCCCATGTACATAGTACAAAGAACTATCACAGGCCGACCGAACCTCACCTCAATTATGCAATAAGCACAAACACATTGGGGTGAATTTTCACATCCTGGGAAGAGTTGGAGCTGGTTTCATAGCACAGATGGATGCTGCTCCTCAATCCAACGGCCAGCCCTACAGAGGCCGTGTCCCAGGAAAGCAGAGCATCAAATCCCGCTTCCTTGGAAACCTCTGCCAAGATTTGGGCTCCTTTTCCTACCTTGAGCTCTACCCTAATAAACTCATTTCTTATTTGATTTAGGAACAAGTCTGTCTGCTTCAAGCCCAGTCAGTATGAATGCTCTTACGACCGAATCATGCAGGAAGTTTGAAGAGTGAACAAGTTTTACTAGCTGAAAGTCATGATCTAAGATCAGGATAGTATTTTATTGACTCACAACTCAAAAGCAATTTAAGCAATTTGCTTCAAACACTGTTGAAAGTCTCCTCTGCTTTTTGAGTAAGTGCTGAGTTTTACGGGCCAAACCAGTTTTTCAAGCCAAAACTGACAAATGCTAAAATAGAGCATCACTAGAGAAGCTAGTTGTTACCTTAAATCATACAGAATCACCTTTGCTCCGGAATACAAAATGTGCTACTCAAAACCAGCACTTCTCTTACCCCGATAAGCACGGAGCAGTGGGCGCCCACTAAGGTTGGCTCCTACCTAATGCAGCGACAGCTGCTCTAGATGAAACACGCCACAAGGAAGGGAGCAGAAAGCCAATTAAAAGCCCTTTGAACAGCAATAGCTAAGAACAAATATTAATTTGTACTTTTCTTTTGAGAAGTGAATATAAAATAGCATTTCTAGAGCCATTTGACGTATATTGAGCCTTTTATGTGAAATCATTACTATTAGCAACAGCTAGTCCTGCAAACTCCTCTGGGAAGAGGAGTTGAGGTGTCTGCTCCCACATGCATGACAGTGAAAGGTCCTCGGGGATGAATCCAGAGCTCATCAGCCTGCAGGGATAAGGGCAGCAGCTCTTCAGGATCAATGAGCAGGACTCTGTCCCTTTTCTGGACCCCGAGGGCTCTGTGAATCCAGTTCCCCTGGCAGGACTGAGCTCTTATTCATTCCCTAATTCCCATCACATCTGAGCCAGGGGCACAGCCTTAAAGCAGATGAGAAGGATTGGAGTCCACCCCTCTCTGCCAGGACCAAAGCGGAGCGAAGGAGAAGCAATTACGACTTCAGCCCAGTGTGTGAAGGGCACTGTGGGGCCGAAAGGGACTCGCTTTCAGTGTGGCAGCTGAAATGCAGCTCCTGGAACAGGCCTTGCATGTACAGGGCAGGTTTCCACACCAGCCCGGGGCACGGCACAACTCTTATTCCTGGAGTGCATTATTCCCGCCTGGGAAACTAGACAGTTTAGCCTGGTAGTTGCAGCATCATGGCCCATTCTCAGATACTCTAGAGAGTTGTCAGCTGCAACGAATGTGGAATGAAGTCATTCGGCTGATTGAAATCGCCTGGGAGAATAATGCAAAGATTGCCTTCCTCTTTGTACTTGGCTTTTACCATCTGCGGGAATGCCTGCTTGAACTGATGGAAAAATAAAGAAATAAATAAAGTACAAGGCAGGGTGGTGGTGGAGAGGGAGCTCCAAAGCAGTCAATTAACCTTTGAAATACAAGTCACGCTGCTACTAACTAACAGCATCCTGATACCTCCTAATTGCCAACCGTGTACAGCGAGGAGGTGGAGCTGGCTGCTCGCCCCATGGATGCGCTAGGTGGGAAGCTCCGAGTGCTGCTAATGACTGAGGTCCCAAAGAAACACCCTTCCCACCAGGAGCTGCCTCCTGGTACCTGCACCCACTGCCACACATGGGCTGTGCTGCCGTGAGATCTTCCATCTGTGTCTCTGCGAGGAGCAGGACTGTGAAAAAGCATCTCTAGATGCTCTGGTAATTCCTTTTCTTCCCCACGAGTAACCTTTGCTGTGGTCATGGGCCATGAGGCAGCATCACTGCATTAAAAGGGCACTTGGGCTGCAGGCACAGCGAGATTCCAGCTACCATCCAAGCACACTGCCCTGGGCTTCATATCGTCACAAAAACCCTTATTTGAGCCTCAGATATGAGCAGGACCCTGTTACTCATCCTGAGGGACCACCTGCGACTGCAGCAGTACAGACACAAACCAAGTCACCTTCCTGTCTTGCCACAGGGTGCCACCAAAGAGCTGTTATGGCCCAGGTACCCACTTGTCCTGCAGGCACTTTGATGGCCAAGCAGTGAAGACCAGGAGGTTTTGCCTCCAGCCTGGCACCTCACATCCTTGTGGTCCCCGATTTCCACACCTGGGTGATGGTGACAATGGTGCCCGCTTGCCTCAAGAGGGCTCTCTGTGACTTCTCTGCAGATCCCCATCCCAGGATGAAAGGCAGGTAACGCAGCAAGGCTCTATCTTCCACTGCCACGTGTCATTCTGCACCCTCCACCCCTGCCACAGGCTCACACGATGGATGCCTTGGCTTTGAATAACTCCGAGCAGTGTCTAGAAGTACCTCAAGGGAGGCAGTGAGGAGGATGGTGCTGGTCTCTTTTCCCTGGAGGCCACCTACAGAACTAGTGGTAATGGCCACAGACTGAAACACCAAAAGTTACACAGGAACTTAAGGAAAAACTTTTTAACAGTGAGGGTGCCAGAGCACTGGAACGGGCTGCCCAGAGAGGTTGTGGAGTCTCCTTCTCCGGAGATCTTCAAACCCGCTTGGACGCAGTCCTGTGCCACGTGCTCTAGGTGACCCTGCGTGTGCAGGGGGTTGGACTAGATGATCTCTAGAGGTCCCTTCCAACCTTAGGCATTCTATGATTCTACGAAACCCCGTCCCGCATCTCCAGCCTGGCAGCAGCGCTCACAGGAGGAGGGCTCGGGTTCCGCAATGACCCCACTTCACTCAAAGCCGCCCCAAACTTTTCCAGCCAGTCTGGCAGCCCCGAGACATTTTGCTGTAGGGTGGTGCGTTGGCCTGAGGAGCTGCCCTGGCCACGGGTTTTGGGAGAGGTGCTCCGAAGCCGGGCTCCGACAGCTCCTCACCTCTGCCACGCACCAGGGCTGCTCTGCAGTCAGGCACGCGGAGAAACTTTTACAGGTTTCACTTCAAAATTCTTCCCTTTTTATTGGGCCCAAACCGGGCAGTGCCTGCGAGCAAAGCTGGCAGGAGCCTGATGATCTTCAGCCAAAAACTCCAGAATCTTTATTGCCGTTGGCTTTGAGATGGTTTAAAGCAAATCTTTTACAAGGTAAAATCCAATATAAACCTGCAGGCTAGAATTTTACTCTGTCAGGAACACGGATGCAATTATCGCAATTTACTTTTGTGCGAGTGATTGCGGACAGACTCCATGCAATCCCTGGGCTTTCTCACGGCAGCCTGTCGAAGGTTTTCCCCCAGCACCCATGACGGCAATATCCAAGCACTGACAAAGCTGAACCCATTTGACAAGGAGTATCCGTGCAGAAATGCAGCGGCTGCGAGGAATGAATGTGCTCATTCAAAGGCGACTGACAAGGTGAATTTCCTAATTTAAGAGCTGCTGTGAAACAACTAGCCAGACAGAAAGCTGACAGCGACAGTTATTTCCGCGCTGGGTTGGGACCCTCTGTTCTGTACGTGTGAACTAGTTTATTGTTGCCCGCCTGGCGTTCACGTTTGTCATCCGGGTATTTGCTTTTTGGAAAGAAAATAAGCCTTGCGCAGCACAGGCTATGGGGGCTGCCAGCCTGGAATGGGGAGGAAAATGAAGCAGTGGCACTTGTGGGGATTGTTTTGCCATGGTACCGAGCAGGAACTGCAAATCCTTGGAAAATTATGGAGAAACAAATGCAAAGCATCGTATCCTGCCTTTGGACATACTATGGTGCTCTGCCTCTCCTCACTTCTGAGGCACAGACTGCAGCAAGGAGGATGATTAACTCTGTAATAAGTGTGACCTGTACCCAATTCGGCGCTAATTTGGGGAGAGAACTGGATGAGCCTGCAACCATCTACCTCATGGGAAGGGAGCATGAGGACTAACTGGTGCCATGGGGAAGCATCTTCTGCATCTCGTGCAGGGGCGGCATGCAAAACGCCAGAGCCCAGCTTAGCCAACAGTTGGAAGTAATCTTTTTTCCTTTTTTTTTCCAAGACAGACAAGCAGAGAGAAGCAACACAGAGCTTCCCATAGACCAACTGGAGATCTTCAGATGACTCACGTCCCTCTCCCATCAGCCCGCGAGGACAAGCTGTCCCCAGCTGCCACCGACATGTTTGGAACAGCCTGACTTTTTTCCTTCTTCCCTCTATGCACTTAGAAGAAAGACCAACCTGCACCCTACGAGATCATACTACACATTCAGGCTAACAAGAAGCCAACTCCTTAGGGGAGAAATGGAGTTGGTTTTTATTCCTTTTAGCCTGACAGCATAAGTCTTGCATTCAGTAAAGCCAGGCTCCAAGCCTTCATGTCCCAACATATCCACGTAAACCCTCCGGAGAGCAACCTGCCCTGTTTTCCGCATTCAGACACTCGTGTTCACCGCAAAGGCGCCGCACCGCAAGCTCGCGCTGCCTCAAACCGCCGGTTCCTCCCCGCGATGGTCTGCCCTGCACTCACCTGCTCGTGGTACTCGATGCCCATGCTCAGCGTGTTGATCAGGATGGCGATCATGATCCCGCGGTTGAAGTACTTGCTCTCCACGATCCTTTTCAGCTTGGTGCCGAAGGCTTTCCAGAGCTGGGTGACCCTGTTCCTCTCCTTGGGCTTCTTCTTCCTCCTCCGCCGGCCTCGCTGCTGCTGCTGCTGGAGCTGGTCGCGCTGGTCGCCGTGCCGCAGGTCCTGCGTGAACTCGTAGACGCCGTTGTTGCTGTCCGAGTCGTAGCTGTCGGACTCGCTGAAGGCGAACTCGGGGTCCTCCAGGATGGTGGCGCAGAAGGGGCAGTTCTGGAGCTCGCAGGTCAGCGTGCTGCCGGCGGGTCCGGGCAGCGGGCAGGCCGCGCTCAGCCCCGAGAGTCGGCTGGGCGTCCGCCGCAGACCTGCGAGGGGGACACAGGGCGTGAATCATAGAATCCCAGAATGCTGAAGGTTGGAAGGAACCTCTAGGGATCATCTAGTCCAACCCCCTGCACACACAGGGTCACCTAGAGCATGTGGCACAGGACTGCGTCCAAGCGGGTTTGAAGATCTCCAGAGAAGGAGACTCCACAACCTCTCTGGGCTGAAAAGAGGCCAGCACCATCCTCCTCACTGCCTCCCTTGAGGTACTTCTAGACACTGCTCAGGTCCCCTCTCAGCCTTCTCTTCTCCAGGCTGAACAGGCCCAGCTCCCTCAGCCTCTCCTCACAGGGCAGATGTTCCAGGCCCCTGATCTCCTTGTGGCCCTGTGCTGTGAGACCCCCCTTCCCTGCGCCCTGGCCCCCTGCCGCCCGCGCCATGGGGCAGAGCGGTGCGGGGAGGCACCCGCTCCGTTTGCGCTGGTTTTGATGAGATCCGAGAGGTCCAGCGCCATTAGTGACAACCTGAACACTCTCAAGCCACCATGCTCCATTTAGAGAGCATTTCTATTTAGTTGCTAAAGAGGAGGGAGAGGGGAGAAAGGGACTAAGAGGCAGCTGCAGACAGAGGTCTTGGTTAGAGTGCTGCGCGGTCCCGTCAGCCCGTCTCCATGCAGGTTTTACAGTGCAGTTTTTACCTCACTACCCCAAATGTCACTCAGATGCCACCAGCCCCTGCAGCAAGGCTGACAGCCCAGCAGGAGGGCATTGCCCTTATATCAAAGGCGCTGAGAGGATCAGAAATATTCGCCCTCTTAATCAACCTGCTCGCGACAGCCCGCAGCCCCATGGAGGTTGGCCGTAGGCTCACCGAGCGCCCGGCGTGCTATCAAAGCGTTAAAAATTATATGAAAAACCCTGGCGCCGCAGATGTCTTCAAAATACCAGAGTCTCCTTGGCTGCCTGCTAAAATAACCTCCCAGCATTGCGGGGCACGGGAACTCGGAGGAACAGGCTGTACTCTGGGCTGCTCCATCCCACAACAAAAGAAGGAGAGAGGATCGGCCGCGATGGCAGCCGTCCCCGCAGACACCAGCCTCGTCTCCAGCTGGGGCCGCAAGTGCCCTGGTTGCAAATGCCTTGCTAATCCTCATAGTGATTCTATGAAATACTATGATTCTCTCGGTCATCGCTCACGCACTCCCCTTGCATGAGGTTCTCCAGGAATGGGTCGTGCCCATAGCAGAGGGGACACTGGGGGAAGCAGCCCTCCGTTTGCACAGGGACAGGGACTGGGAGAGTCTCCGTGAGCTCCCTCCACCTTCCCTACCCAACACGGCTCCTTTGCTGAGCTCCGGCTGGGATTTAGGTGCATCGGCTGGAAGCTTCACCTAGGTAGGAGCAAACTTCTGGGAGAGAAAAAGCCATTCTAGAGGACTTGTTTAAAGCCTTTTGGCATCCTCAGGGCTGCAATGCCTCTATAAAAAGAGGATGGTATTTTTGCATTATTAATAACTGCATCCAACCTCAGGCTCTCGAAGAACCACCACAGGCCACATGAAAATGCCCCAAATTATTGGAGATTTTGTAGCTGGTGGGACTCAGATTTGGTGCTTTCTTCTCTCGGAAGGCAACAGAGGCCCTTGTGAGCACAGAGGACCAATCCTCTGCCTCGAGCAGCACCTTCCAAGCAACGGCGCTTTCGCTCGGCCTTGGTTTCCCAGTTCCAGGCTCCTATTGCGCCTGGGCTTTTATCTCAAGGTAAATACACATTCTCATAATAACCTTCATTAACTTGCAAAGTTAAAGATGTAGCAGTGATTCATATAAAGCCCTTGCTTAACAACGGAAGAACATTGCAACTACCCTTGCCCCTTCTGCCCTCCTGCTAAGCTCTGAAAAGTACAGAAACGTCTGCTGAAGGCAATTTCTATAAACAACCCGATTTACCCTTTTGTATGGTCACTTATAAAACAATCTTAACAAAGACAAGCCACCCAACCTATCTGGCAAGCAGCCTTTACTGTGACCTTGCCTGAAGCTAAGCTTGGTATTTTTTCAGCACATACATCACCAGGAAAAATATTTGTATTTGTGCACACGCGGATAAACAGTTTTGGAAAACACAGGCTCTGGAAAAAGAAAATAAAGACAATGAGCTTGGCTTGAAGAGATTGAAAAAAATAGAAACTACATCTTCCTGACTTTGTATTGTTTGCTTAAGACTTCTGCTTTTCAGTATTTAGCCCCAGCCATGAGAGCTGAAAACATTGTGAAAAATTGGAAAGGTAAGTGTTGCATGTAGACATGACTCCAGCAGCAGATGATTTCTGTAAGAAGGGAGATAAAACCAAATGGAGATATAACTAAAAACATTGGTGTGGCTGCAGTCTGCACAAACAGGGCTGTGACAGCGGTACAAGAGAGTTCCTGCGATCTAGATACGCTTCTTGTGCACATGAGGGAAGAGCAGAGGGGAGGCCTGGTGACCTGCAGCTCTGCTACAGCCCTGCCCTCACACACATCCTCTGAGGACTGGCTCTCCCAAACTTCATGCTCCCTTTCTTGTCAAAAAGACATCTAGAGGCTCAGGAACCCATGCAAACAGACCCAGGGGTTTCTAGAAGCTTCTATCCTAAGTTTGTTCTGTGCCACCCTCTTTTATTTATCTTCCACTTTTCTGTATCTCTTGTTTCTCCAGCAGCTTCCACCTGCTCTTCCCTCTCAAGGTACCATCTCCCAGCAGCTGGGGCTTATCTGCTGCAGGATTATCCCAGCACATCTGTCACTTCTCCGACATGAAATGCCAGGGGCTGCATTGATCTATGCTGGGGTGAGAACAGAGGAAAAGCCTGCAGGGCATCACTTAGCACATGAGAAATGTTAAAAAATACACGCTTTGTGACCATGAGGAAGAGACCTCCAACAGTGTCCTGAATGTGCTGTCTGGACCATCCCATACCTTGCTTTACCCAAGTACTACAAATACAGGGATAGAAGGAACAGAGCTCCCAGCACCTTAACCTCACTCCTGGCTTCCATGCTCAGCTCCAGCATCTTTCACAATATCTGCAGCAGCCTTCCTGGCTACCATGAACACACCTGGCATCTTGAGTACTTCTCTCTGAAGACCCATTTATTCGAAGACTGCATCATCTTGGTCCCATGTTCCAGTGAACCCTAACAACCCTGCAACTGCAGCTTTGGGGGCATTTCAGGTTCTTGCCTACAAGGGTAGGCAGAATGATAGGAAAAAAAAATGATGACTCAGAAAGAACTTGTATCAGAGGGTGCAGATGTTGCAGGGTACCACAGTCAGCATTTTACAGATAAGAAAAATAGAGGAAAATGGAGCTTTCCCCACACCACTGTCAGGTCAATAATGGAACCCAGGTATGTTTCCCACCTGCGTTCCTGGAACAGCCACAGAGAGGAGAACATCTCCAGCTCTTTGGTATTGATCACATCAAGGTATTTTCCCTTTGCCCAGTTTTCCTAAGCAAGGATATCAATTCCTGTGCCCTTACCATGCTCTCCTACCAGTTGTTGCAGCTTCCCATAAGGATCCGTGCCCAGATTTACTGGGCTATTAACCATGGCCACAGGGGAATTACCATTCTTCTTTCCTTTGGGAACTGGAACAGAACTGGCTTTGCTAGTTGGAGAAGGCAGGATGGTAGGATAGTTCATGTTGCCATGGTTGGAGAGTCCAGTGGTCAACTTAATGCTCGCAGGGGCATTGGAAGACTTACAGTTCACCTGTGGCCCTTCAATGTGACAGTCAGCATGGTAAATGCTGTGCACAGACTCCGAATCCGGAGGAGGAGCAGGGCTCTGCAAGCTGGGCGACGGAGGCGGAAGCATCAGTTGGCCTCCGGGTTTCATGACCTTGAGTTCCAGGTCACAGATCTCCGGGTTGGAGCGCGGCCCGCGCGGGCTGCCGTTGCTGATGTGGTAGTGGTGGTGGTGGTGGTGGTGGTGGTGGATGAGGTGGTGGATGGAGGTGATGCGCTTCCTGCCTCGGCGGCTTTGCCCGTTCGTGGTGCTGTTGGGGTTCACTTTTTTCCGGCGCTTGCTCTGCCAGTTGTTGTAGAGCCGTATCGTCCGCCGCTTCACCTTCCTGAAGATGTGGCAGATGTATTTGAGCAGCTCCTCGTAGCAGCTACCTGGCTCTGAGAAGCTGGCAATTGTGCTGTCATTGGAGAGATAACGGGCCCGCTGCTCCTGCATCAGCTGGTTCTCCCGTTGCTTTGTTTCAGAAAACTGTGTTGCTATCACAACCAGGCACAAGTTAATCATGAAGAAGGAACCAACCTGAAGAAGACACAGGGAAAGGAATTAGCAGCAATTTTACAAAGCAACACATGCACTTTGCTACCATGTGGTGTCTGGACTGAATTGTGGCTCTTAGAAATCTTAAGATGACCAAACATGCCAAATCTCAGAGTCTGTTCACCAAATGTTATATTAACATGTGCTTGAGCTGCTAAATTTGCTCTTGAAGCCTGTTAAGCTATTTTGGCAATGGCATAGAAAGTTGTTAACAATACTCTTCACCACTTTCCCCCTACCAACAATGATCACATTTGCTACTAACTTAGGGTGTAAGAAACACAACGTAATCTATCACCACTGCAAACCAGACCACTAGGAAACACCCAGCCAACCCACAAGGAAAGATGTTTGGAGTCCAATTCGTGCTGTATTGGGGATGCCTTTTCTCTTCTGCTGTCATCTCATGCCCTGGTGTAGCACACCCTGGTTTCTAGATGCCAGTCAGGGTCCATATGTCCGTGAAGTCACCTTTCGCTTGGAGCTCTTTGGGACACAGAGGTATATATCTCCGGGAGGTTTGGTGCTCCTGTAAAGGCCCAATTAAATGGCTGGCTTGAGTTGACACAATCTTGGATGATATCTGGTTTTGGAAATGCAGTCCCAAGGATAAGAACATAAAGTGACCTAAGGCTGCGTCCTCCTCAGCTGGTAAGTCCACACACCGGCTTTTCACCACTTGGATTCATAAATCAGCCAAAGGAAAATGTCAGATATTCCCATTGGAAAACCAGTGCCCTTAGGTGTGAAAAGGACTGACGTCAAGAAAGTGCCATTGCCTACAGAGCCAAACCTCTGTGCTGGGCTCAATAGGAAACGTATGGATTTAATCTGGGCCATTGTCTGGTGGATCCTCAGGGGAAGCCAGCAGGAGATAGTCTGTAGTGTCACTCTCCAATCTGTAATAGCAGTCTGGATACTGTTTGGAAAGCAGAGAGGGTGCCATTCCCAACTCCGAGTGACTTGGGGATTAGTCAACTTCTGGCTTTGCTGCAAGGATCCATATGTAGCAAAGGGTTGAGAGCGTGAAGAGGAAATCTCTACTCTCCAGGGCTATTGCTGAAAGCTCAAAAATCGCTGCCTTCAGAATGTTGTCTGTGCCAGGGGATCTCTCACAGTGGTCAGATCTACACCTTCCCTGGGTGTGATGGCTGGGGAACGTGGTGCTTGACTTCCATACTCAGCAGGGCTATTGCTGAAAGCTCAAAAATCGCTGCCTTCAGAATGTTGTCCGTGCCAGGAGATCTCTCACAGTGGTCAGATCGACACCTTCCCACTGCTGCTGGGGATCGTGGTGCTTGACTTCCACATTCAGAGTTAGCAAAGGCTTCAAAAGCACAGAGATAACGATGGGGTTGTACATAAAGAAAATCCATCTGCAAGAGCACTTTGAAGTGCCTCCGTCCCATGTCTTACCTGGCATCTGTGTGATACTTTTCCCTCTGCTCTCCTTCTGACCTGAATGGTTGACCTTTCCACAAATGTAGCCCCCAAGAGAAGGTTGGATTCCCACGTCCATTTTAAAGGAATCTTGCTAACATGGGATAAAAGCTTCAGAGGACAATATCAAACTCTTCCAAGGAATAGTACTACATATTTTAAAAGAATGACAGCACCCTAAGACCTTAGAAAATTTCACTGCTGCTACTACCATTATTTAAAGTGCTCAGGTGAAGTTTAGCAGCTTTTTGAGGGGCCTTCATTGAAATCAGCTGTTTCCTGGCATGTGGAAAAGACTAATGGAGGAAAAGCCTTTGCCTCTCTGCTCTTCGTTCTCATTAGCAGTTACTTGGTCAAGGCACAGCAGTTAGGATACATCCAGGTGATAAGACCAAAACCAGGAGAGTAAACGGAAGGAAAAGACCCTATGGCTTGGCAAGTGGTGACCATACATCATGTGTGACACTAAGAAGGACAGAGCTTGTGGTAGCCAATACCTGTCTCCATAGAGGTAATGACAATCTGTGTGATTACACTTGACAGTGGAAGGGAGGTCTCCTGCATCCCAGGTGGCTCCCCTCTCTGAAAAAAGGCCAGGGAACAGCTTTACCCCACAAGGACAGGGAATGGGAGTATCTCACAGTTCATACTTACTATTATAAGCAATATAAAATATATAAAATTGTAAAAAGAATGTGCATCCATCACATAATACATGATGTCAACCCATCCTTCCAGGGTTATAACCTACAGGAAGACAGAGAAAGAAAGTGTAAGAACAAGAGTCAACCGTGAAGTTTGTAAACATCAATCCCCTGCTAGTGCCTGATACTCATCACTCCGCAGCATCTCCCAGGATCCATCCAGACCTGCTGCACTTTTCCCGTTTGGCTTAGGATAGCAGCAATATGTGACCAACACACTGGCCTGAGGTTTCTACAGGAACCTGCTGTGATTAAAATGATACAGCAATATAAAAGGACATCTGAAATGCTGATTCTGAACCAGTACAAGGAACTTCCAAGCAGGAGATTTAACAAAGCAAAAACAATTTCCGTGCAGAGATATGGGCTTTTGCCTTAGCCTCTTCGTTTTGTACAACTACCTGTAAAATTTCTATATTTCTGAGCAACTTTATTTCCGTCAATGCAGAGATATGGGCTTTTGCCTTAGCCTCTTGGTTTTGTACCACTACCTGTAAAATTTCTATATTTCTGACCAAATTTATTTCCGTAAAACCCAGTTCTTTGTAATACCTACTGGCTCAGTATTACAACAATACCACTAACATCACAGTAGAAAAGTAACTGCATGGAAAAGAGTTACTTTAATTAAATGGAGAATTGATTTCAGACTTGTTTTCTCAATCTTCCTTCCACTAAAAAAGAAGCTGAGGATTTAATTAGCACCACACAGGCTGTGTGCAAAGCGAATGCTGCCATGTAATTTACACTTTTTTATTTAGTTAAAACATACCAAACACTTCTACTGTCATCTTGCTACTAGCGCTGGAGCTGCAACTGCAGCACAACGTCCCACAAAATCAAAAAAAATATTTTCAAGGATGGAACTGAAATGCTGCTCTGCTCCAGCAAGGCACATGAATTAGCTTGCTGGGGGCAAGGAAAGCCCCACTCTCAAACCAATAAACATGGTCTGACAGGGAGCAGGTAAAAACTGTCTCTGCAGCTGCTCTCCTGTCAGCTTTGCTGGTGACTTTGAGCAGTCAGGTCTGCGGGATGCTGGTTGCACTGCCACAAACTGCACCCACCTCTCGTGTTCCTCCCTGCACCCATGAGATACCCCTTCAAAGCCCAGCCTCGCTGTGGCTGCTGCTGTGGGCATCAGAGAGCAAAGTAAGGCTTCCCCAGTGTGCATTTACCAAGAAGGGCATTGCTTTGGGTCTCTGCAAACCCCATGGATAAGCCAGGGTAGGAAGTTTGCAATGTTTTTCACTCTGGAAACTGAGAACTGGGCTGCCACCGGCAGTAAGTTCTGCTCAGTGGTATGAAACAGGCAGGCAGTCAAACCCAAACTGCCATTTTTTTTGCCTTTTATTTAACGTGGTTGAAGCATTTATAGAGACCACAGCCTTTCACCCATGTCCCTTGCACGGCAGAGCAGCCTTGCTTGCACTCGAGGCTTGTGCTGCTCATGGAGAAACCAGGGAGATCAAGTCGGCAGGGGACACAACACTAAACCAAATCACCACCAGCTCCCGAAGAAATTGTCTTCTCAGGGATGTTTGGAGCTCCCTTCTGCCTTCCACCTTCTCCTGCTCTGCTCACATGAGCCTTTTCGAGCCCGCCTGCAACAGCTGCTGTACCAGGTGCTCTGTTCCTTTACGCTTGGTGATGAAAAACGAGCCCAGGGACCCAAAACATATGGGATGCACCTCTTCCCTGAATGGCGTTTGGCTGGCAGTCCTCAAATGGGATGTATTAAACGCATTAAACACAGAACCCTCTTTGCAAAAGGAGTTACCTGAGGGCTGCTCTGCTGTTCTGCAGACACTGTCGGCACCCGCCTGCGAAGCAGCTGCTGAGCCTCGAGCGAGGGCCAAGCAAATTTTCAGAGGAGGCTTTTTCTCATCCGCTAGACAGCATTTTCAGTGAGAATCAATCAATATAGCACATTCCCCCTCTGGAGGGCTGAAAATGCTCAGCCAGCTCCCAGAATATTTAAGATGTCATTAGAATTTGCATTATTTACTACTCGCTTATAAACCAAAGGGACACAGGAGGAATAAACTGGGCCTTTGCTCTCCTGTTTGGCATCGTTGTGGGGTCGTTCTTGGGCTTCCAGAGCTGCCAGGGGTTAGTGGCGCTGGCAGCCTTGCACAAGGACACGCTCACCAAGAGCCCTTCTCTCCTTTGAATCAAACAGCACCCAAGAGATGCAGGATGACACACACGCATGGCCACCTGCCTGAAATGAAACCCTCTTGAGGACTTTCCAGCCTCCTCTTCCTCTGCTAAGCACTTCTTTTGTGCTGTCCTACAAGGTGCTGCAAATAATCTTAAATGTGGATTTTTATCTAACTTAAGATCCCATCGCCTACCCCCAGCAAGGCCTTGGTATAAATGAGAATTTGATATTTTGAATTTACCCGCAGCTGGTCATGAACTGAATTCTTTTTTTTTTTCTTTTTTGGAAGGAAGTCAAAGGCATTGGTGCAAGAATCTCTGCAGTACAGAGTCTGATCGTCAACATTTATTCTCAGACCAGATGAATTTAGAAAGAAAACTAAGAACTCACAACTCTATTTTCCCAAGAACACTGATGCATTTTTTTCAGCCTTGTTTTCCTACTGTTCTTCCTTTGAGGCACCCTGAATGTAATATCACCTACTTCACTAAGCAGAAACCACTTGCTCTTCTCTTCGGTTTCCAATCTGATTAATGCAGCTGACTGCAACTGCAGCATTTGGCCCTCTAAGCCTTTTATAGCTATCTTCCAAGGTCCTGGAGCACCTTCCTTGTGCTTTCCAATCTCAGACAACCATTCTCAGTAATTAAAGTGTGTTCAAGTCGTGGTTGTTCACAGGCAGACATATTAAACAGCCCCTCCAAATGTACCAGTTCAAAGCTTCCAATAAATGTAACATACAATTATTTATCAACAGAGATAAAGAGGCAAGAAACACATTTTCTAATTCTGCTCTGAAGAAATAGATGTGCAAGATACGTGGCACACTAAAATCAGCAGCTAGAGGGAAATAGCTGAAAGATTCAATTAAGATGATTGGCAAGGTTGTCCTACAGGGTGCTGCCAACTGTAATCACATGCTGCAGATCCACAGGGAAAGGAGAAGTTGCCCTCCGAGCACAGGGAAGGATTTTTGTTTGCAAAGGACTGAGGTTCTGGGCAGACAACAGAGCTGCTGTTCTAATCAATGGGGGATCCTGGACGATGCTCAGTGCAATTCTCCTTGGCTGCTCCCTCGGTCCTTTACCTCTTGGTAATGGATGGGATAAATCATTCGACTCCCATTAATACCTGCGTGGCTCATTATTAAAACCCTGGGTCTTGTGTCTGATCCTCTCTTCCATCAGCGCGGGGCTTAATTGAAAGCTCACTCAGGTGAATGCAAAAACAGATTTTGCCTTCATTGATCTCTGGCTCAGAACCATCCATGCATTCCTCCATCATCACATTCAGATGAGCAGAGGGAGGGTGGACAACTGGATTTTTTTTTGGATCTTCTGTGTTTCTCATACTCTTGGTTTGCTCAGGCCACAATAATCTCAACCGCTCTAGCAAAGATGCTGCTCTGATTTATGGCAGCATAACTGGGGATAGCAGCAGGTCTTCTTGTCAAACTAATCAGAATCAACCTAAAACTGCAGAATGAGAATCACGAGGGAGATGTGGATTAAAGACACTGGCAATTAACTTAGATCTCCTTGTTGTTCCCAGGGAGACAGGCAGTTTACATTGTTTTTTCTGGGGTCACTTGAAAGGTCTCTGCAGAACAATTCCTTTTAGTGTGTCAAGAAGCTTTCACCATAAAAATCCTTGCCATTGCACTCGGCCAAAATTTTTGAAAGTTCTTGGCTATAATCCATTCAAGAGCAGGTTATTTTTTGCTTTGAGAAGAAAAAAGAATCAACCAAGAAAAAAAAATGAAAAACATCCTACAACCCAAACTACTTTAATTAGTAAAGTCAAACATGGAATTATTTATAAAGCACTAATGATTAGTGCCAGATGGGCTACTGCAGATAGAAATCAACTTGGAGGTGCCACTAATCAATGAAAGAAAGTTTGGAAAATTACTGTGTGGAGTGAAGCTGAAAAGATGAGAAGAGCTCAATGCGCAGCATACTAAACCACAGCCTACCCTGAGGCCAGTCCTCATGGCAAGATTTCATATCCATGATTACTTCAACAAGCTTCACTTGTAGAGATATCCTCCCTAAGTAAGGGGAACCGAAATTATCATCCCCTACTCTGCTCAAAAGCCCTAAAAAGCCTCGTTCTGACAGCTTGAGAGGTTTCCTTGCTGGCTCATTTCAGAATTGCAGGTCCTTGTTCAACGCGAGCAGCCACTTGCTTGGCCAAATCAGGAGATGATACAGAGATCCCACACTCCCACTCGCTTCCAAAGCATACGAGAGAACCTGCATAAGACATATTCATTTTAATTGCCATATATAATTAGTACGCAAGATTTTTTTTCCTTTGGTCTAAATTGAGTCCTTTAAGGACAAGATGAACATTATCTGCATCAAAATCAATTAGCCGAATTGAACAGCAACTGAGACCTGCCACGATTATTTGCTTTTTTGTTGTTCTTTTCCCACCTCTTTATCTCATCATTTCCCTGGCCCTGCAGTGATTTTTGTTTTTAATAAATGTCAAGATCCAATGATACCATAAATTTGGAGAGTTCATTAATAACTGCGATGGTCTCAGCAAGCTTTATAAGGCCTTCAGGATGCCTTTCTAAAGGTCTTTTAGCTGTGTATTTTGCCCTTTCAGGGACATACTGATTTGGCTAAGTGACCAGTGAATAACAGAGTTTTCCTTTTCCATATGCAGAGTGCTTGGCAGATAATCAAATCACTGACTACATTTCTGAAGTCACTTTCATAATTTTAATTATTTCCTTGTGATACATGTTGTTAAGTAACCTCTGTGGTCAGAAAAACAGGTTTTATTATGTTTTGAGTAATATCCTTTGAACAGATGTTTCTCCTTTCACTTTGGGGGGCTGCTCCCTTTGCCAAGCAATTTTAGGCATT